TGGTATCATATCTTCAGAATAACAGCTAACAGTCTTCTATGTGCCATTCTTCTATGCACTCATTTAATCCACAGAACAGCCATACGAAGTCAGTATCATTACTGTCTCTATTTTGGAGATGAACATGCTGAAGCACAGAGAGCAATTTATCCAAATTCACACAGCTACTGAGTGTCGCAGGAGTGCTTGCAGTTAACCACTGGGCCATGCTCTGTTATAATATCTTCTTCTTTTTATTTGATGAAATTTTTAAAGATTTTCTCACCTACTTCCCCAAAGGAAACTTACAATATTAAAACACCTAGAGACAGAGAGTTTAAAGCACACACAGAGCCAATTAAAAGCAGCAGAGGACTGTGTAGACCAGCAGTCTGAGATGAGTTGGCTTTTCCACTGAAGTGCTAAATTTGGCTCTGATTTCCTGCCAACTAATGGGAAAAAGTGAAATGTTAGATTATATGCTTCTCATTGTTTTGTAGAGCAAGCATGCAAATTACTTTGCAGAGAAAAAAGTTTTTGGCAACCGAACTCTAGAAGCAATTTCTAGAATTCTAATAAAAGAACTCCATGTTAGGGTTTTTTTTTTTTTGAAACTTTTTTATTGGAAATGTAACACTTACTCAGAAAAATACATACACATAAATGTACAGCTTATTGAATTATCATAAAGCGAGCTCCCACCTCATCACCACCCTGGCCAAGAAATAAAAGCTTAGCCCCCCAGAGGCTCTCTGACTGCACCTTTCTATTAAAAAAGCTCTCCTTTCCCCCAAATGTAACCATTATTATGACTTCTGTTCCAATCTTTTTTTTTATTTTAGTTTTTTACCACCTAAATAATATCCTGAATAAACACTGTAGTTTAGTTTTGCCTGTTTTTTTTTTTTTAAACTTTGACTGGAATCATGTACTAGGTATTTTTGCTTTTTGCTCAACTTCATGTTAGTGAGGTTCATCCACACTGTTTTGTGTGGCTGTATGCACTTTTATTCTATGGCGCTCCATCATATGACTATACCACAATTTGTCCTTTCATCAGTTGTGGACATTTGGGGTATCTGGTTGTTCGCTATTAGGAAGAATGCTGCTAGAAGCATGCCTGCATATGCCTCCTGATTCTGGGATATGCATATTTCAGCTGGGCAACCATCTTTTCCTTGTGTCTCTTCACTTCATCTTCCCTCTATACATGTCTATCTCCAAATTTCCCCACTTTATAAAGATACCAGTCATAATGGAATAGGGCTCCCCCTAATAACCTTATTTTAATTTGATTACCTCTGTAAAGACCCAAGCTCCAAAAAAGGACACAGACTGAGGGTCAGGACTTCAGCATATTAATTTTGAGGAACACAAACAAGTTGGTCACACTAAAACATGGAGCAACTCTGGGAAGAGGACAGTTTGTGCACAGGCATTAAGATAAGAGACTACACACAGTGCTAGAGTTCAGCAAGCCATGGGGCTGATAGGAGGGGCCAAATTACATTCAGCTCTGTCATCCATAGGAAGATTTCAGATTTTATTCTAAGTGCAATGGAAAGTAACTAGAGGCTTTTATGCAGGGGAGAGACATGATCTCACCACTTTTGGGGCAGAGAATAAGCTGGAAGGAGACAAGAGTGGCAGTGAAAGGATCAGTTAGGAGACTAGTGTAGTGGAGATGAACACGGTCTGGACCGGGGTGGTGGTGGGAGTGGGTAAAGGACAGGGAAAGCAGTGGATGTACACCAGATGTAAACTGGAGTTCGGCTTGACAAGACTTGTTGGACATGGAGGATGAGGGTGAGAAAGGCAGCAAGGGTAAATTTCAGGTTCCGAATTGCAGAACTGCATGAATTGCTTACAAAAAGGGGGATGGGGGACTGAGGATTGGGTCCAGGTTTTGACTGAGCAGGAGTCAAGGGAGAGAACCATTTTGGATATATCTGAAATTGTATGAAGCATCCAAAAGAAGAGATCACTGGGCAGTTGAATATATACAGATCTAGTGCTGAGAAGAGGGATAAGCCAGATAAAACAAAATTGGGAATCACCATGACAAATCATGTAGAGCTAGGGGGAAAGGTAAGACGAAGAAGATAGAGAAAAGAGTTATGAAGAAAGTCTAGCAATATTTATAAGTAGGTATCTCTTCATCTCAACCACCTATGAAAACTGAAGACTAGAATCACGGTGCTTATAGATAATGCAGGGGAAAGCACGCTAGAGTTGGTGAGGTAACGTGTCTAGGTGTTACCTTCCAATGACGCACCTTAATGTAACACCAAAGCTTGAGTAACATTTGAGAAATGCATAATTGAAATTTAAAACCCTTTCAGCAGGTACTGGTCACAGTGAACTGATTGTTGCATTTTCTGGTGGTTGCTGGAAGAGTTAACTTTGTTTCAGAAACTTGGCACTGACCTATATACTTGCCCAGGTAAGTCATCCTATTTCTGAAAAGAGATGGGTCACTAAGTGGCCTGGAGGTAAGACCAAATAATTTTTAAATTGAGATTTGAGCCACTGGAACGCTTGAACGTTTACCCAAAGAAGATCTCAGAGGTTTGGGTCTTTAAGCATGAAAAAGATCATTTTGGCCTAAAACATTTATGGGATGTTTTTGCTAAGTGGACTGTTTCTACTAAAGAACCATAGTACAGCTTTTGCATAATGTAATTCAGAGTAATATATCACAAAATGCCCATGTTGGCTACTTTCTTTCCCTTATCTTACTCCTCTCCCAAGTCAATAGTGTTAATTTACTGTTCTAGCTTAAATATATAGAATATTTTTAATATTCTATAGAATATCTTCAAAATAAAATTAATTCAGAGTAGGGCTTCTTATCCTGAATCTTTCAAAAGAAGTTTTAGGAATAACTCTAGGACTACTCCCGCTAGACTTCATTTTCTTTCCATTGGAAAATGGTTACAATCGTAAGGTTTCTCTGTAGTTTGCCAATCTATCATCTCCCCCCCCCCCACTTTCAGCTTATTAGTTTTTTATTGATCACTCTTTCTCCTGCAACCTCACCCCCCACCCCCTACCCCCGGCGCGTAAATACTAGGAGCTGCACGAGCTGCATCGGAAAAGGGCACCAACGCGGTTTAGTGTCCTGTTCACAGGGGACTTGCGGGGTGGGTGCAGGGTCCAGCCCACATGTTCAGGATTCAAATATGGGTTGTGAGGGGAAAGTGGGATTTCTGGGGGTGTGGTGAAGTTTCACCAGTTTTGGTTTCACAAATGCTGCTGTTTTGTTCCCCAAGGGGTTGCTAGGACCTGTTTGAGGCAGAAGTCGGGACAGGGTAGGTCGGGAGACCTCGAGCTTCAAGTTCTTGGGCCGACAGGCAGTTGTAAGAGTTGTTCTTGCTTTGCTCGAGGGTCCTCAGACCCAGACTTTTCTTGAAGTTGGAACGGCCTGGGGCCCTGGTGAGGCCCGGGTTTGCCGGGGCTGCGGGGCGCGCCGGCGCCGCTAGAGGGCTCGGCTGTAAGGCACGAGGCAGTCGGCCAGGCGTAGGCCCAAGCAGAGGCGGCGGTAGCTGGCCAGGGCAGGCAAGGACGAGCAGCGGCAGGAGCAGGAATCTGGTGACCTGCAAGGCTGTGAAGCCCGGGTCCCGCAGGTGCGCGGTACGCGGTGCGCACGGGAGTACCTGGGAGCGCAGGAACTGGGAGCGGCAGAGGAAGCCAAAGCCTAGCATGGTGACAGCCGGTAGCAGGATGGTCCCCAGCACCAGCGCCAGCAGAAGACTGAAGGCAGCCACCAGCAGATTCTGGGCCGTGACCAGCACAGCGCAGGCCCAGCAGTCCCAGGGATCCCGGGAAAGGGCCGCTGAGCCCCCGGGGACATCCACCATGGCCCGTCTCCAATCTATCGTCTTTGATTACACAAAGCATCTGTTGGCGAAGGGTGTTTGATGCCCTTGGGGATAAATAACTTTTTAATTGTTCTTGGTAGTATTCTGACAGAAATTGGCCAGTAAGTTTAATTGCTTAAGGCTTTTCCTCAAAAACCATTATTGTACTCACAAACTTGTAATGACTTGATAAAAAGGGCTTTTAACTATTACGCCAATATAAAGAGGCTCCACATGACCAAGGAAGTGCACCAAGATACGTACTTAGGGTTGAAATAACTCAAACGGCTGCAGTCATAGGGAATTTTCTAGCTCTAGAAACACGAGAATACAGGTAAGTTGCTGAGGCTGACGTGAGTGACAGAGCACCCCAGCACCTGCAACTCTGAGACGTCACTGGAAGTGAAACAAGTTAACAGCCTAGGAATTTGTGTGGGGCCATATATGTCCCCATAACTCTCCTTGCAGGCACTATGTTCTGGGGAACAAGGTTCCTAAATCCACACAGCATATTAGCCCTACGTTGCACCCAAAGCACTTCAAAGGGATCTGCTATATAATTTATTCGTATCTTAAGTTGCCTCTGAAGAGATTTGAACTTAATTGCTTTTTTTGGATTGAATTTATTTGAATTTTATTTGAAGTCACATCTTTTGATGTCTTTGATACTTGTTTTTAATCCTTCTTGAAAATTTTTATGGATCAAGAATTTCTCTAGCACATCTCAACACAAGAGACCCAAGGCCTTGTTTCAGCCTTGGGCAGCATCTGGGACCTAAGTCCCTTAAAGAAGGCCTGTCCTGAGACGTGTGCCCCTTGTGTGTTGGGGCAGCATCAGGTCAGCATCAGGCCAGCGAATCTGAAGGCTCTAATTAAGCTAGCCCTACTTTCAAATGTAATGACAATAATCTTCTCCCAATTCAGATGATCCCAAATTGCTAAAATGAAAGGCATTTAAGGACCTTCCAATTTTGGAAGTTGACATTTCTAAACCATATTGGGGGAAAAAAACAGTCGGGAAGAGGCAGAAGTACAGGGGTGGTGTAGTCTCTCAATCCTGCTTATCACGTTACAACAAATGCACAACTTGCTGTGCTCCTTCTTTGAGGAGTGAAGTGACATTATAAACCACCAATGCTATTTTAAACAAACCAAATGAGCTTAACTCAATAAATATCTTTTATTAAAGAAAAGAAGGAATATTGTTAAGCACCAAAATTGTATGTTGTTACATTGCATGTACAAGAAGAGAAAGGTGATTGCAATACTTGGTGTACAAGTACTTAACTCTGTAGTCATGGGTGTAAAAAACATGAAATACAAAGCAATACAATAATTACAATGCAGAAAAGTTGCACTAAAGAGCAAAAGGCAACAGTCAAAACAATTATTGGAGATTTCAGAGTATTGCTCTAAATGCTTGCTTAGTTTTTTTTCTTTGTACTTTTAATACTTCAGAATGTTAATTGAGCATATTTAAGTACTGTAAATTTGCAAGAGCTGCCATTTACAATACACTTCACTGCACACTGTCCATTTAGTGTAACAGGTTTTAAAGCCATCCTGAAAAGCCAAGCACAATGTGCTAGTGTTTCACTTCTACCATTATAATATTGCACAAAGCTAGTAAATTGGTTTGCCATTAAAATTTTCATTTAACCAGAAAGGCTAAAAAACATGTCAGTTTCATCAGCCCTAATGGACTTTTATTCATGCAAAAGGATCTGTAGCCTTCGATTTTTCATAAACTATAATATATATTATGGTTTCACACATGGCAAGACATACAGTACAGTAAGAAATTCAATAAAACAGTGGGGATTCTGTCCAAGTCAGAAGTCACTGCATGGGTTGTATTGTCTACCCCTCTTGGTTCACAAATGAATGGAAAGTGTCGTCTTGTGATTATGGAGAATTCTTAAAACCAATGTAATTAGTACTAGGAGAAGCTAGAGTAACTTGCTGCACTCTTTGACAGTTAACCATAGAACATTCAAGTTAAAAAACCCCAAACTTCCCTTGTTAAAATTGAACTCTACCCAACACCCATACCTTTGTATACATCTGAAAATCACTTTCCACGGACTTTCCTTAACTCATCAATTTGAGCCTCTCTTAGTCATACCTGACCCCTCCCTCCAAAAAAACTTTCCCCTAACCCTTAAAACAAATGACTGCTTTGAAATTTGGTGTGAGAGAACATTGATGAAATATTGAATATGGCAACCTCAGAGTATTTTCTGTACATGCACCTTACAGTGACTTAATAAATGTGTTTGGAGAAGGGGAGAGACATTTATGAATCTGGAATTCAGTCAATTAAATTCTTCAAATACAAGTGGTACATTTACTGTTGGTAAAACAGAAAATTTCAGAATGAACAGATCTTTGAAATAATTCACCTGGCAAACATTTAAAACACACACACACACACACAGAATCCAGACTCCCTCTCACCTTTAAAAATCCTGTTTATATAGATGAGTTTAGGCAGCAATATAAACTCATTTTGTAGGAAAAACTTAAATTAGACTATACTTATAGGATAAAAAAATGCTACTGCTTCATTTTACAAAGCAATTAAGCAGAGACTTTATGTGCTTTAAATAAAGAGCACTTTGCAGCAAAGTTCAGAAATAACTACTGAATTGTTCAGTAGCACTAAATGCAACATGCTCCAATAGTAAGGTGCTTCTATGTTCTTACCTCTCTTCCATCTGATATCAATCTTGTGGTCAATCCTCTAGCATTAGGCATAGATGTCCTTCTATGCTAAGCAATAAATGGGAAGTAAAATTTGTTTAAAATGCACATTTACCTTTAGATTATTTAAATTCAGTGCAAGAATTAGGTAAAACTTAAAGTTTCTGCTTTCACTATCAAACAGATGCATGTTAACAATGCATATGCCGTGAGTTTTAAATGTTTCACAGCTGCTCAAAAAGACTTTGCAAATAACCTGGTAAAGTATATAAAATTTCAACTCCCTGATCAGGACCCATGAGCACTTTAAGTTGGTATCTGATTCTGAGTATTAAGTAAATAATAATTAAATTAAAAGCGTTTTTTTAAAAAGATTATATTTAGTGAAAGAAAAATTTTCCTTATACATACATGCAACAATTGCAATTTAAAAATGGAGTTTTAGGGAATGTATAAAGTTAAACAGTATTAATTGTATACTGGTCCCATTCCAGAGAGGGTTCTGCCCACTAATTTTTGTCCCACTGATACAAGAGTTTTAATTCTTAGTGTCTGCTATGGCCAAAATATGCTTTACGGTTTAACACATTTTATAGCATAAAGAGGTCATGCCATATGTTAGCAAATACTGCTACACAGTTCAGCTTTGGAGAAACAAGGTTCCCCCCGCCCTATCCCCTCTTTATACAGAATTTTAAAATTTTAATAGGTTCATGTAATGAAAAAGCCCCATATTCCCACTGTGGAAATACTATACCTGATAAACTGTTACAGCTGTGTCTAACAGTCCATTTAAAAATGAATTTTATAGAAACATCTCATTCCACAATGAAGAACCAAGGAATGATTGTTTTTATGCTGCTTACGAACTCAATAAGCCTATAAAATATACATTAAGTGAGCAATTCTCATCTTTTAAGAATCTTCTTTAGCCAGGTATTTCCTCATACTGCTACACTACAGTACCATTAAGATTTTAAATCATTAGGAATACCTTTTCTATACATGCCACGTTGGTTATACATACATAATTTTAGTCATATTAGTAGAGGAAATATTTAAATTGACATTCAAGTGAGCAGTAACTAACTTCCAAACATCCAAGCCATCATCTACTTGCTTCCCTATTTTAAGTATACTGCAGTTGAGACTAGATTGGTAAATTAACTTCTAAACTGATTCAGCATAAGCAAGCAGCTGTTTGTGGATTCGTGATACAAAATGATACATTAACAGTCAAATATTTTAAACCACATAAATAGTACAGGTAAGTTTGGAATTGGAAACATGATCATATATAAGTACCATCATAACTATATACAAATTTTATACTAAGGGCAAAGATGCTCATTTTATTAGGGGAAAGGAAAAAAAGGAAACTGTGCTTATATAATTTTCGTTGGGTTCTGAAATTGCCTATTAATTAAAATGAGGAATCAACTGGAGAAATGGACTGGAGTTTATTATCTGTGAGAACTCCAGAGGTTGATGGCCTCTAGTAACGTGATTTGCAGGAGGCGGAACCTGAATCTGGAGGAAGGGAAGTGGATGTGTTGGAGAAAGTTATTTAACCAGAGCACGAGCACAGCTGGCTGCTCCTCACCTTCAGGTGTAAGACAGCTTGCAGAGCACTACAGAGGGTGTGCTGACTGCAGCGGACACACTCCTCGAGGGTGCGCAGGGGTCTCAGCACCCTGCGTTATCTGCTAGAAACAGTACAACATGGCTTGGGAAAACAGATTATAAAGTGAGTGTTGTCTTTTAATGGAACCCCAGCTGTTAACACTAAGAGCAATTCCCTCTCGATATATTCAAGTTCCAGTGCTTCTGCTGTGATGACACTACATCTTCCTGTATTTTTGTAAATATCAATAAATAAAACCGAAAAAAAAGTGTTATGAACAAGTATCCAAAGGCATAAAATTGATACATGATTTTTTTAAGGTTTACAAATCTCCTTTAAAACTTTTTTTCAGATATGTCAATCAAATCAGTCATTCTTTAGGTTAAAATGCATGTTTCAATGCTTTGCTGAAGGGGTGTTAAAAAAATCTACAACCCTCCCACTGTAATTAGGGGGTGAAGATTAACTTTATATTAGATCTGTACTTCCAATATTCCCAAAGTGTGAGAATAATGCTAGAATAAAACCAGTGTATTATGAAAATGCTCAGTCTCATCAAAAAATATATTTCCAACATTTAAGCAGATTTTAGGTTTTTTTTATATAACCTGTTGCCAGAAAATTTTCAGAAAATTATTTGAGAGGAAGTAACATTTTCCAGTGGCAAACGTAAGCATTTCTTTTTTCCTTCAGGAACACCAATTCGGGCACACTGGAGGGCTTCTACCCAAGGACTGCTTTCTGGGTCTAGGTCAGAGAACTGCCTCACAAGAAATAAAGTTCTTTTTGGTACTTCAGCCCTTAACTCCATTCATATAAAGGTCAAGACCTGTCCTACACAGAATTACACTCTCCAGAGTACTGTAAACTGTGTCCAACATATCCATCTTAATTCAAACCCACAACAGTCCTGCTGAGAATTCGTAACAGCTCCATTCAGATAGATGCATTCCTGAGGACATTACAGCAAAATCGACACTAGAGTTACATACCTATGTTTAAAAACTTAGTGACACTAACAAAGGCTCTCTCCCAAAATTTAACTCAAAGCGTGAGAAGACAGTGAAACACCAGCCAGAGGCTTTTCTTCCTGTCCACTTTCTGCATATCTGTAGAGCACTTTTTTTTGCACTGTGGAGCATGAAAATAAAAACTTAAATGGTGCATGTTAAAAATACCTGTATCCCTATTACTGAATCCTGAATTTTGATTCTCAATAGGAAAGTCATGTTGAGTTATAGTAATCAAGCAATAGTTCAAACAAAAAGACTAAAAATAATTTGAAACATCAAATTACAAAGTATTGCTTTCCATAAACAAAGCTGCACATAAAATTCAAACTATTATAAATTCACAATTATGAAGAGCTATTTAAAAGCATGGACATTTTTACTTTGAAACCTTACAAACTGTAGTGTGTGGTCTTCTAAAAATATGCCATGTTAAGTGTATCACATTGTGGTAAACACAGTAATAAGTGTATCTCCATGGTAATGTATTTTTTCAGATGTTGCTGAACATCTTTATGAAAATTCCTTTGGAGATATTAATGTGGGAATTATCAGTGCATTTCCATCGGATTTCTTCCAACTCCTGTCCTACAGCTATCATGATTAACTTCTTTTTCAGAGTGTCACACTATTTATTTAAGCTGACATGGAAAAAGCTCTGTATTTTGAGCAGATGACTGACTATTCAGTGCACTGAACGATGGATTTCACCAAAGCAGTCTCAGTACAGCTCACAGTAAATCTGTCAACCCAGTGTTCTTCCAACTTGTAGCAACCCCTAGCTTTACTGGCCACTGCAAGAAAATGTAAATGGGTGGACAGGTGGGGAAGGTGCTTATAAAACAGGAATCTTCAGAAGGCCTTTTCTTCATAGCAGTCAGGAACATTGCACGTCTAAACTCATATTAACCACCATGTATTGCAATGACTGGGAAAGTGATAACTTGCCAATTGTGCTTCCTTTTTTACACCACTGAGCCAATACACTTTGAATCTAATGGAATCCAAATGTGGAACCAAACGTTTAAAATTTTGCTCTCCAAAAGAATATAAGCCGATGTTCAACTGTAGGCATTTTTTTCATTCTGTTGAGTCACCTGTTTATAAACAAAGTAATACAGTGTATTAAAAAGGATGGCCTATTAAAGAGTACGTATTTATGTTCCCTCACACCATTTGCAATATCCAGTATGAACACTGGTGATTTTTCCTTTAAGTGGTTTTTCATACAGATGATGTACAGGAGGCACCTTTTTTTTTGTTTAAGGATGTTTGTATTAAAGTAATAAAAATAAAAACCAAATAATTTCAACACAAATTATGATCACTGTTAAAAGATCACATGTCATGGTTACTCTAGTTATTACTGCTGTGTAATATACAGGAAAGTTGTAAAGAGGGTAAATCCTAAGAGTTCTCATCACATGGAGAATTTTTTTTCTTTTTTTCCTCCTGTTTCTTTTGTTTAAGATAGAAGTTGGCTAAACCTAACGTGATAATCATTTCACAATATACGTAAAGCAAACCTTTACGCCGTATGCCTTAAACTTACACAGTGATGTATGCCAATTATTTCTCAATAAAGCTAGGGAAAAGAATTTTTTTTAAAGGTTGTATGTTACATTAACTTTCACTTTCACTCTTAACCATTGTATGCCAAAACTATACACTAAAAAGAAAAATACAATCTAAAATCTTTGCCTCATGAACTTCCAGTACGACAAGAACTACCAAATGGCACCCTTAAAATATACTAGAGAGTGACTTTTGTTTTATTGAGATTTAGAGGACAGGGTTAGTACTGGTCTTTAAATGGAGGTTTTTACCAGGACCTTTTAAAATTCAAACTAGTTATGTCTGAGATCCATGAACTGACCCCCACAGCACAAGAGAATATATATAAAAGACCTACTTGTCAGATAAAAGCAGATTTGCACATGAATAAAGATGGAACTTACTTTATTACAGTTCCGCATTACTGCATACTGCAGCACTGCAGCTACATGTGGCTTTTGAGCACTTGAAGTCAGTCTAGTGTGACTGAGAAACTAACTTTTTAATTTAAGTTAAAATCTGAAATTTTGTATAAAGTATTTTTCCACTAAGCACAACTTTGTTGTTTTGGTAGGATGATTCCCTTTAATATGGAATACCTGGCATCCATATTGAGATGGTACTACTAGGAAGTGTAAAAACTGGACTTTGAAGACTCAGTATCAAAAAATACGTATACTACGTTGTGGAATTTGATCTGATACTCTTTTGGATATAACATGTAAAATAAAACATTACTAAAAATCAGTTTCATGTGAAAATTTTTAAAATGTAAAACTATTACAACATCCTTGGCTTACATTATATTTCTGTTGGATACCATCATTATAGTTACTTCATAAGTTAAGGAAGGAACCCATAGGAAACAAATTAGAAACAATAAAAAGGTCTATACAATTATATATATATATTTCCTTAAGTTTAGAAATCCCTTCAAGAGACACTACCACCTATGGCTACATCTGAGATGAGTTTTTAGAAGAGGGTGAGGCTGAACACCTCCAGCACCTTCATTTTTTATTTCATGAAGTTTTAAGAAACTAGTTTGTAATTAATGATTTTAAATCTGTAAGAAAGAAACCATTTAATAGGAAATTAAAATTTATATAGCCTTTTAGCCATCTGTAGAAAAGTATCTAAAAGTTCAGAGTCTTTAAAAATGAGTTCCTAACACCACACACAGGCAGTGTACACAGCTCTTTATCAATGGCTGCTTTATCGGTGGGAATTACAACTAGTCCTTGGCTTGCTTCTGGTGTTGGATATACTTAGTCTTTTAAAAGTGTGCTGGCTGGGCTCTGGGGGGATGGGAGAAGATAAACACAGGTGGGCTGGCCTGTGCTGCTGCTGCTGGGCCATGTACCCTGACTGTGCCACTGCAGGCGCTGTGACAAAAGGACTAAACACAAGTTTACGTGTAGGTCCAGCTTCCAAGATGATCATTTTTGGCATCGCTTTAGCAGTTTACTGAGAAGCTACACGCTGAAGGGGACAAGGCAATAGGTAACAAGCACTGTGAAATGAGCAACAATCTAAAAATAACAAGTGTGGAAAAGATTCCCAGTCAGGCACAACTGAGTCTCTAGACAAACTCACATGGTGAGTAGACACACTGATGTGCAGGCATATGTGTGTGTGTGTGTATATATATTTATATATATATATATTCATATTCCTCTACAAAGCATAGGGTACAAATGTACAAGCACAAATGGTTTGAAATTATTTGGGGATCCAACAATTTGGAGGAACAGTAAGTGACTGATAATTAAGACCTCTAAAAGTAACAGGAAAATAGGATGCCAAGAGTCCAAGACTCGTAGCAGGACAGTGTTACTATCAAACATTGGTTAGAGTACATTAAAGGTGACAGAAAACCACTTATCAAGATTTTTCATCCTTTTGGCTAAGCAACTGATTGGTGCAGGTGCTGGTGGGGAGGGACGGGGCTGGGAGTGTGGCGGTGGATCACTTTCCTGATGTGCCCCATGCCCAAAAGGAATGGGTAAAATTGTTTTCAGTAATATTTTGATATATCTAGAATAGTATCTTTCAACATTTAATCAACATTTTAAAAACGAATGACACAGTTTTTGGGGTGTTTTGTAGTTAAGTCTTCAAAATCCACTATGTATGCCTACATATACTTCAGTTAGTTCTACTCTGCCAAAATCTTTGGTCATGAAGACCATGAATCTGCATTTTTAATAAGCTGCCCCTTCCCATCCTGTAATTCTTAAGATCAGGCATGTTTAAGAATCACTATGCCAATTTCCCTGATATTGGTGATGTTGAGCAGCTTTTCATGTTCCTGTTGGCCATCTGCATTTCCTCCTTTGGAAAAATGTCTGTTCAGTTCTCCTGCCCATATTTTAAATGGGTTGTTTGTTTTTTGTTGTTGTTGTTGCTTACTTTTTAATTGAAGTACAGTTGATGTAAAATGTTGTATTAGTTTCTGATGTACAGCATGGATGGATTTGGAGGGCATTATGTTAAGTGAAATAAGTCAGACAGAGAAAAACAAATTCCTTAAGATATTACTTACATGTGGAATCTAAAAAAAAAAAAATACAGCAAACTAGTGAATATAACAGAAAAGAAACAGACTCACAGATGTAAAGAAGGAGCTAGTGGTTACCAGTGGGGAGAGGAAGGGGGGAAAGGCAAGATGGAGGTGGAGATTAAGAGGTACAAACCATCAGGTATAAAATAAGCTACAAGGGCGTATTGTACAACATGAGGAATACAGCCAGTATTTTGTAACTATAAATGGAGTATAACCTTTAAAAATTGTGAATCACTATATTGTATACCTGTAACATAATACTGTACATCAACTATACTTCAATTATTGTAAAATAAATACATAAATAAAGTTAAAAAAGTAAAAAAAGAATCACTATGCCAAGGATTAAATTTATTATTCCTTTATCTACTCCCACCAGGACTATGAGTCTTCCTGCTTTTTGTGAAGCCCACAGAAATATACTCCATCAAGCGAGCATGATGATTAACAGAATAATATTATTTGCATAGTTTATATTTTGCACAAATTACATTTCAGTTATGGTCATTAGCAATCCTATATACTAGGATTGTTCTATCTTTACCAATTCTACATACAGAATAATTTGTGCCACATTACTACAGAATCAACTATTAAAGTGTATTGGGGACAACTTTCTACTACCCTGGGACAATGCCAGAAGTGTTATCAATACCAGAGAGATACTCAATAAAATATGTATACAATTTTATATATTTATTCTGTTAGCTGCAATTTTATCTAGACAATGGAGTAACTATGATAAACATTAATTTTAAAGGTTTAGAAAGCGAAATAATCAGACAATACAATGACTTTTATAGAGTCCTTTGTGCGCAGCTAACAAAACAACAAAATTCAACATGCATAACAGAGTTTGCAATCAAAATACATTAGAAAAGGACTTCTCTGCTCTTTAAAGCCAGAATAACACTGCCACTTCACTAAATTAAGAATAACTTCTTTACTTTAATGAGCAGGATATAAGAAACACAGCATTTACATAGGAATATCTTTGGAAAGTACTTTTTTGTTATGTTGCTAGAAACCACAGTAGTAAAACCTGTTTACAAATGAATGATCCACGCTATATCTGAACCTCAGACTCAATGAAATATAACAAGATTCATCATTCAGTATAAAAGCTGTATTACTGAATGCTACTGAAGAAAGTAAGATCATTTACCTGTTAGTTCTCCCAGTCTGTGCAAGGCAAAGCTTCCTCTTCATCCTCTGATTCAGGGGATGCTTCTTTGATTCTTCTAAGAGCTTCATGGATGCTCCGTGTTAGTGGGTCTGTGTCGGGCAGCAGCGTGAAGGATTCTCTCAAGACTTCCTTCTGTACCTTCTTCAATTTTACTCCCTTCCTTATCTGTGCCAGGATATTATTACTATCATCTTCATCAGGAAAAGGAGGCAGAGTTCGCTGTTCAACCTTTTTCAGATGAAAACTACCACGCTTCAAGGAAGCTAGCACCTCATCCATGGGTGAGCTCACTTTAGAAAATGAAAGAGAACAATTACAGTTAGGGCTGCACTTAGAACCAAACTGCATAACCTCCAGATTTTAGGGCTGTGATAGCCCCAGATGCCAAAAACACCAACTACACAAGGGACGGTGAAGCATGGACAGAATGTTTCCAAAACACAAAGGATCCTAATTATGCTTGTTCAAAAAAAAAAAAAAAATTCCAGACTCACATTCCGTGTCAGTATTACTGACAGTCCTATCATTTCCTGTGTGAGAAGTGAGCAGACTGGGGGCTGGGGAGTGATCTTTAATATTATGGGTGAGACTCCCAAAGGGTTTCCATAATGTAAAAAGTTCAATCTAAATTCAGACAGTGATTGTATTGTACATTTAATTAAAAAAAAAATCTGATTCATTATGGTGATTGTGCTTTTTTTCATTTAGTTGTTTTACGTAATATTCTACTTGGGTTAGGATAAGAAATATTTCACAGGATGGTCTCTCAGATTAAAATCTAATATGCAAATAAAATGTTCTCTGCATGGAAGCTAAAGCTTCTTAAAAGGCCAGAATTATTCACTGTTCTTTTCAAAAATAGCTTTATTAAAGCATATCTGATGTGCAATTAATTGTACGTATTACTACTCCCTATTCTTCTTTGCTTCTTTATACAAAGAGTATGCCAAGGTCCTCCAAAACTATGTTACATGGCTCTGCCACTGTTGTCCTAGTGTGACAGTCTTCCCCAGGTAGCTTCCCTTTGCTGATGTGAATACCTTTCTTGTTCTTCTGAAACTTAGAATCAGTTCAGCACAGAAGGAGCCATCTAATATATGTTACCAAATAGACTCAGTCAGAACATACATAATTTTAAAAACTAAGAGCACAAGAAGGTACACATTTCTGTGTCTTCACACATTTGAAAATGGGTTGGTAAGAATTCTGCTGTGCTGAGACCCTGAAAACCTGTCTGCTATCAAATAAAGTCCAAAAACGAAATGTTTAAATCTTCGTAATATCCTAGGAAATAAACAGTCCTTTGATTATATGCCTCACTTAGTCAACAGATGAGCACAAAAATATCTTTTTAACTTACTTCTCCTCCTCTGCAAACCTTCAGCAGTCTTTTTGAGCTTCTTCCTGGCGCTGACCAGCTGGCTGCTGTCAAAGAGGTGTGCTGAGGGGGCGCTAGCTGACTTTGGGATCCTCTTCTCGGTCCCCTCCATTCTAGGCAGATCTTTCTCCAGTGTCTCTGGGGTGCTGTCCTTGCCAACAGGCAGAGGTGGTGGTGGTGGGGGAGGGGGAGGTGGCGGGGGAGGCGTTGGAGGGAGAGGCGGTGGGAGTGGATCTACTGTAACACAACCCGGCCTAAGGTCAGTATTATTTAAAAGTGGAAGAGATACAGTGGGAGGCAGTTCAGAGGTAACACCACTGAGAGGTAATGATGTGGCTTCAAGTTGTGCTAATGACTTATCTTCAAGTTGTGTGAGGCTTTGGGCTTCTGGTGCCTGGGGTGACCGGAGTGTGCCTCGTCCTTCCTCCACCTCCTCGTTTTTCTCTCCTACCTGTAGAGAGTCGCACTGGCCTTCACAGGGCACAGGACTGGCTGCACTTCTTCTTCTTGCATGAGCCAGTCGCAGTCTGGTTGATTTAAGTATCACCTGACCAGGGTACCTCTAAAAAAATCAGAAGTTATTTTAACTGGTTAGATTATATTAAAACCATTTATGAACAAATGGCTGTTTATTTTCTCCCTCCAATATAATGTTATTTTAGAGCTTTTGTGATTTTTTAGGGAAAATATGCAGAAAACCAAACTGTAACACCTTTTAAAATAATTATAATCAAACTTTTTATTACCTGTTTATCATCAAATCCTTGTCCCCTCGTATCCAGTTAAAAGGTCAACTGTTCAGAATTACCACATGCTTTTCTGAAATATCTTTAGTCAACAAAGTTACTAATTTAAATAGAAAAATAATACCAATGTAAAATATAAAATAGCATGTGATGTCAAATATATATGCTATTGGTATGCAGAAAGCTAACAAAAAACTATTCTTAATTTCTTACATGTATTTTCAAATGCTTACAGATAAAAATTAAAACATTACTGTTCTCTTTAAAAGGTTTACATGGCATTTTTAAAAGCTCTGAAAACAATATATGCATTTTATGATAGAATAGAAGGAATAAAATTTCTTGGAGTACTGATACACAGAACTCTCATTTTTTACTATGGTAAAACCTAGCATTAAAGCATTGGTAGGCAATATTTTCTTAACACAAGGCTTATCCTTGTGTTAAGGACCCCATTCCCACTCACTCTAACCCTTTTCACTTGATTAAAAGCGTCCTTTAAAAAAAAAAAAAAACCTTCCTTCACCTATAAGGTGATCCCTCAGAACACAGGGTGGAAGTAAGGCTCCTGAATACACCAAGAACTAGAACTACCTGGTTTAAGACCATTCCAAGAACACGTTTAGCTGCTGCAATATCAATGTCCAGAGTCATGGATTAGCCTTGCAAGAGAACTGCTCAAGTTCTTCTCATGTGTGCTGATCCATCTTCTAATTCTGCCATTGCTCATTTCCACAAATTACCAAAGGCTGACGTATACGGAATTAATAACAAGTGGATGCATGAAATGGATTCTCGGTTGTGAACTAACTCACAACTCAAGAGGAATCCAGGCTTCTCAAAGATCCTGACCATTCCTCTCACTACAGAAGAGGTAAGCCAAGGTTCAATTTAAAAGGTCTACCATGACTATAATTATTTACCAAATAACAAAGGGAAAAATCAAGTCTTTCTAATGCAAAGAAATCTTACAACAGGAATGTGTATATAGTTCTGTTTAAACAGCAATGAAAAATAATAAATTGACCATACTTTTACTACCTGTTTAAAGGTTCGAAGCCTATCCAGTGTTCTCTGTCTTTCTTGGCTAACCCAGGCACTTTTTCTTTCTTCTTCATCATGCAATTTTTCTCTTTTCTGGTAAAAAATCAATAGTAATTCCATTATGATGTGTCCATAATTTTATCACTTATAGGAAAACAGAAGACAGTTCTCCCAATACCAAAATGATGCAGATAAAGAATGATGCATTAAGCAAAATGTTTTATGGCATGAAATGGTTTCTAACAGAAATGATATTGCTGTTTCACTTTTTGCATGTATTCCCTATTAAAGATGTTTACTCTGTAAAGTAACATAGTATTTTCTCTTAACTGAAAAACGTTTCATCTTTGGGGTTCTCAAACAACTTCAGTATGCATTGCTTATAGCTGCTATAACATCTGCTAACTCAAATAGTTTACCTTAAAAATAAAAAACCACTTGGTCAGTAATTTAGATATTATATATAGGTTAAGCCTGGTGTTCTGCAGATAATATCTACTATTACTGAATCTGTTCTTCCTGTGATCAGTTTCATTTTTTCCTTCCCATTCTCCAATCCCAAACCTCTTTTATTCTGTATTTCCAGTCTGGATTAACAGTGCAACTACCGCTCCATGTTGGCAAAGTTAAACCCAAATTCCTTTCTAAAGGAAAGAAAGTAGAATTCTTGGCAGAAGGATAAAGAATGAAATAGTGTTTTTGACAATCTCACTACTGAAGGACAGGTAACTGGTATGCAGTTACCAATTAGGGAATGCACCGAAGAGTGCCATGATGTCCAACCAGTTCCCCAGAGGGATGTAACTACCACACACAATACAGATCATTTCCACTTTTATCTCTTGGTGAGGTGCGCTGGATCCTTTGTGTGTAATCAGCCCCTTTGGACTGATGGTCAGGGTGGGGCAAGGGTGAGTAAAGATGAACTTTCTTCCATCTCTTTGCCTTCTGACAGGTCAAAAAGACCTTTCCCATTTAGAGAACTCTCACTGGGAGGGTCTTAAGAGTTCACAAAGACCATTAATAAATTAGCAGATACTAAGTAAGGCATCTCTCAGTAACAGTCCCAGATTGCTACATAATCATAAAGGCTTCTGGATGGGAAATTAAAGAGAAGACATGGCCTCAGTTCTTCATTAAAAGCAGACATAAAGGTCCCATGTTGGTTCTGTCCTTTAGAGAGGAAAGCCCAGAATGGCTCAAGGACACAGTGAGGCAAGAACTTACCCCAACTCCTCACCCCTAATCCTTACTCACTTCCATTCACGTAGCTGAGTCAGCAAAACGAAGGACAACTACATCTGGTAACCACCTGGAGTTGGGAGTGAACTTGTGCCTTCCCACACTGGCATACTCAGGGACAAAGGGTATTTCTAAGGCCTGTAGTGTAGCCCAGGATCAGAGATGAAAAGATTTTTCTATACTTAAGAGTATGTTATTCAATGGCTATAGTGCTTAGTACTTGAGAAAAAATCAGTTATCTAAGAGATGATTGGTGTTTTCAAACTGTGAATCTCTAACAAATACATAAAGAACTGAATGTGAAGTTCAGGAATAAAACTGATTAATCATACTGCTGTTCTGACAGCTGGTATATCTAGAGTCAGATCTCACTATAATCTAAAGAAGGGGGATATTGTATCTCAGTGGCAGAGTATGTGTTAGCATGCACAAGGTCCTGGTTCAATCCCAGTACCTCCATTAAAATAAACCTAATTACTCCCTCAACCCTAAACAAAACCAAAAATAAAAGATCCCAAATGGAAAGATAAGAAGAAAGTTTCAGACTCGAGGCATGAACTGATGAGCTTATATGGGCTCTTCATAAAGCATACTATTGTGTTTAAGAGCACAGGGAGTAACAGACAGCCTGAGTGGAGTACCAAGTACCCCCCTCCCCCACCCTCACTCCCCTCTGCTATCTGACAGACTTTGGGAAAGTCATTTAATGCAGATAATTTACCCGTTGGTGGGTGGAGGGTACTAACTCGGTGGTGACACAAGGGGCTTTGAGGTTTCTGTTGACATTCTGTTTATCAGCCTGGGTACTGGTTGCATATATATGTTCATCTTATGAAAATTAAACAGTTATGAATTATATGCTTTTCTGTGTATGTGTGTATAAATAGTTGTATAGTGCTTCAATAAAAGCAGTAATAAAAGGTTTTCATAGCAGAATATTGTTTTAATAAAATGAGAATACACAACAGGTAGAGCATATTATCAGAGCATGAAGGCAGTGAGTAGTTTTAAAGAAGCCATTATGTGCAAAACCTTAAAAGTTCTGATCAGTCCATAAATGGCAGCTTAAAAGTACTCCATGTCTATTTCATGAATGCTGTTACATAAAATAACACCACATTCTTTTTAATGGGGGAAACTGACTTGCTTCCTGACCGCCATTTCCTTACTGTACTCAATTCGTCTCTAAGCTTTAAAAAAAAAATGATGAGCAAGTAATATTACATTTTCTTTATTCTGTAGAGTTTACTATCAAATATTAAACTAAACTTCCTGAGTTCCTGAATCCCCCCAAGGATTTCCAAAAGAAATTTTGGAACAATAAGGTTAAAAATCCAGGGATCAACATTTTAAATAATCTGCAACCCAACAGATTGATAAAGGTGGGTTAAAACTAGATTTGAAAAACAAGCTTTGATCTAACTTTCATTTTCCACTGGCTATGCATGTTAAAGAATAGATGATTAATGGATTCATTCTGCTACAATTAGGTGTTCTATCCAAAGCTGGTATTAGATAAAATTGTAAGACACTGATCTTTGAGATTCCCTGAAGTATCAATTTCCTCATTTTCATTCATCTTTGCCCCCCCCATAAAACTCTTTGAGAAAGGATTTGACCCTTATTTGTTCTAAAAAGCTAATTAGTTACCCCATCCACAAAAGTACTGGCATTTCACCAGAATCCAAAATCTTCATGCAATAAGAACAAATCCTAAGTGTGGAATCTCAATAACAAGCTGATAGCACAGGTACTGATGGTGATAGCAGGAGACACTCTTATTCATCTAACTCTTAAGCTGGCCCCTAGTCTAATCTTCCTTACAAAGCAGTTCTCAGCCCTGAAGACAGTAATGAACAATAAAAGTACAATAATTTTGCTATTAATTTAAGATGAATCCTACAGTTTATGGGTAAACTAGTAATAATAATATAATAATAATAATACAGACTAATTTAACTTAACGTGCCACTGAAGAAAGAAATATTTTAAACATGCAAATTGAGTAGCATGCTCATGTCAACATTTTTGGTGTTGACTAATCTAAGACATAAATGTCTAAAAAGACTACTATAATAATATATTGCAGGCATGATGAGATACCGCAATACTGGGAGTGGGAGATTTTAAAGTGACTTTTTTTTTTAAAGTGAACTAATGATCTCAGCAAATTATAACTAGAGGGGAACTTGCTCAACAGCAGCTAATATAACTTCATCACAAACTAGAAAATCTAGAAAAGACGAAGTCCCCTCTCACCACTCCTTTCCAACACTACACTGGAAGTCCTACTTAATGCAACAAGAACAGTAAATAAAAGGTATACTGATTGGGACAAAAGAACTAAACTGCTTTTATTTGCATAAGACATAATTGTCTATATAGAGAAAAATCATGGTTGACATGTAAAAGTCAACTGCTTTCTAATATACAGCAAGGAACCACTGGAATTAGAAATTAAAAACCTTTTATATTACCACTACAATACTATTAACATTCCCACCCCTCAAAAAAGATCAACAGATTAAGAGCGTAAATCTAATAAAATGTGCACACAATCTATATAAGGCATATAAAAGAAAATCAAAGAATCAAATAAATGAAGAGATATTCCTTGTTCAAGTATACAAAGACTCAGTATCATTAAGGTGTCAATTATTCCCAGCTTGACTTATAGATTCAATGCAGTCTTAATCAAAATACTAGTTGTTTATTTTGTAGTTACTGTTAAGCTGATTTCAAAGTTTACTTAAAGAGGTAGAAGACCTAGATCAATGGAACAGAATAGAGAGCCTACACAAATATAATCAACTGGTCTTTAACAAAGGAGCAAAGGAAATTTAATGACAAAATGGCCATCTTTTCAGCAAATGGTGCTAGAGTAACTGGACACCTACATTTAAAGCAGAACATCAGGTTTAAAAAAGAAAAACAGTTTAGCCTTACACCCTTCACAAAGATTAACTCAGAATGGATCACAGACCTAAACATAAAATGCAAGAGTATACAGCTCCAAGAATATAACACAAGAGAAAATCTAGATGACCTTGGATTTGGTGATGACTTTTAAAATACACCAAAGGTAGATGAAAGAAAGAACGGATAAGCTGGACATTAAAATGAAAAACTTTGTTCTGCAGATGAAAAGGTAAGCTACAGACTGGAAGAAAACATTTGTAATAGACATGTCTGAAAGGGGCTATTATCCAGAACATACAAAGATTTTTCAGAACAGTAAGTAAACCCATAACCCAATTAAAAAGGGAACAAAAGATCTAACAGACACCTAACTAAAGAAGAGGTACAGATGGTAGATAAGCATTGTGAGAACATGCCCAACAAAATACACCACTAAAGAACTGCAAACTAAAACAACTATGAGATACCAATATACACTTACTAGAATGGCTAAAATCCAAAACACTGACAACACTAAATGCTGGTGTGGATGTGGAGCAAAATCAGCTCACTGCTCGTGGGAATGCAAAATGGTGCAGCCACTTTGGAAGACAGCTGGGCAGTTTTCTACAAGTAAGCATACTCTTCCCATAAGATCCAGCAATCATGTTCTTTGGTATATACCCAAAAGAGCTGAATACTTAATGTGTACACAAAAACCTCCACAAGTTATCAGCTTTATTCATAATTGTCAAAACCTAGAAGCAACGAAGATGTCCTTCACTAGGTGAATGGATAAATAAACTGTGGCACAACCAGAAAATGGACTATTAATCACTGCTAAAAAGAAATAAGCTACCATGCCATGAATATACACGGAGGAAGTGCATATTACAATTTAAATATGCCATTATGAAAAGGCAACATACTGTATGATTCCAATTAAACATTCTGGGAAACAGCAAACAAAATGTCAGTGGTTGCCAGGATTCTGTGGAGAGAAGGTTGTGAATAGGTGGAGTGCAGGGGATTTTTAGGGCAGTGAAAATATTCTGTATAGTACTATAATGGTGGATTCGTGTCATTATATATTTGGCAAAACCAAAAGAATGTACAGCACTAAGGATAAACTATGGCCTCTGGGTGATAATGACGTGTCAATGTTGGCTCAGACTGTACTGTAATAAATGTACCACTCCTGTGCAGGTTTCACTGGTGGGGGGAGCTGTGCATGTGTGGAGGTATATGGTTACTCCTTCTATTTCTACTCATTTTTGCCTTAAAAAACTGCTTTAAATAATGAAGTATATACACAGTTGGCCCTCTGTGTCTGCAGGTTCCAAATCACTGGAATGAAAATACTTGGGGGGAAAGAACACAGAAGGTTCCAAAAAGCAAAAATTTGTTGAACTAGTTACATAATATAAGGTATCATAAGTAACTGAGAGATGACTTAGAAAATATAGGAGGGTGTGCGCAGGTTATACCCAAGTACTATGCCATTTTATACTAGGGGCTGGAGCACTCACAGATTTTGGTATTTGGTGGGGGAGAGTGGGGACAGGGTGTCCTGGAACCAGTTT